GGTCCCTCGATCCCTGAGCTAGCTTCACTTTTAAATGTCCCTGCTAAGAGTTATGTGGAGACCATAAAGGTGAAATGACAGGTAGATAGCCCACTACATCTCAACATTTTGTCCTAAAACAAGTGAAATTCTTACTAAGGGCGACTTCTATGGTGTGTAGGGTACAAAGGCACAAGGCTTAAAGAAAAGTGATTTTCCACTGGAAACCTTTAAAAACACTTCATTTAATTCGAATGTAATTAACATTTAAATTAGTCTTAAACTTCAATTGTGCGTTTCGCAGGAGTGGCAAAGTCCTCTGGGAGAGCAGAGCTGGGGTTGCCGCCTGTGGCTAGGGACCTGGAGTGTCTGCGTGGACAATCCAAAACGCCAGTGCGGGGCACCCAGGATGTGTTTTGTACCTGTCTCTGGCACCCACTTCTAGAACCATCTGGGATAGAACCTTCTGGGAGGTTTCAAACTCTCATCATCACTTTTCCAAGTATTTCGTTGTTTCTCTGCTACCCTTAAATGTAACTTTGGTGAGCGCTCCTCTTCCCCTGTTCCCCTCTATGTAATTTCTCTGTCACTGTCCAGCTTTCGGAACTCTTCACTGCCTCGTTAGACCCAGAAACAAGCAGTTTTCCTTTCATGAGAAGAGAAGGAAAGGAACTGGGCCCAGGGCCGCACAGCTGGGGGCCAGCTCTGAGGGAGCAAAATTCTTACCTGTCTCCAGTTCTTGAAACGCCAGGAGTCTCGCAGTCAGGCCAGCCACCGGTCCCAAAACACCACATAAAGAGACATGGTGAAGGGCAGAGAAGAGAGCTGTGTTAGGTGGCAGACACCGCAGACAGCACTTCTACGCATCTCCCGCCGTCTTTGGCCATCTTCAGGGGCACACACGTTTGCCTTCATTTTAAATAGGGAACTTGAAGTGAGGGCTACAGGTATGAAAATTAAAACAGTCACAGGCATGGCCTGGTGGACCCTTCTCTCAGCCTTTGTCTCTGGAAGGTTCTAGAGAAGCTGCAATCACTTGGTTACCTGAGGGGAATAAGGACAAGTCAGTCACTCTTGTCTGGAGGTTGTCTCGAAGCTTTTGGCTGTTTTCTTCCCTTGGAGCAGTTTTTTGCCTTTTGCAGAATGGAAAGGCACTGCCTTGTCTGAGGGGCTGTTCGCCTCTTGGCCTAGGATGTTTCTAGGTAAATCTTGTCTCTCCTGGAAGTGACTGTAAAATGACTTCTGAGAATGGCTCAGGCCCAGGGGCACAGATGCAAGGGGGCGGGGGGCTGGGGGCCCCGCTTTCATCCTGGTTTTAGTTCATTCATGAGCCCAGCAAAAGCAGCTTTTACGTTGTTGCTTATATCCTTGGCTGTACCCGGAGGCGCGGCGGCGGCTGTCAAGCGAAAGAAGCCCCAGATACTCGCCAAAGCTTCTCCTGGCTGCGAGCTCCAGGGAAACTAGGTCAGCCAAATACGCGCATGCTTCCTTTGCCTGGCCTCCCTTCCCCATTGGGGTCCCAGGCAGATGACTCGGCTCCACCGTGACTTTGGGGTCTCTCCTGGCACCCACGGAGCTTGGAGTGCATGCACTGCTCTTGCCTCTGGACCTTCCGTCTTGTCTGTGCAGCCCCTGGTTGGCACACTCAACTCCCGACTTCCATCCCACCCCCAGCCCAGGCCCAGCGGGGCGGCGCAGGGGTGGGGGGTGCGGGGAGCTCTTCGTGGCCATCAGGGATGGATCGCCCTCACTCACAAGCCTTCTCAGGGCGCTGAAACTCATTTCCCTCTTCATTTGTATTTACTGAGTGTCCACTGTGGGTCAAAATGACCCAGTCACCTCGGGAGAAAGGAAAGGAAGTCCTCGCATCTTTGCGGGGTGATAGGTCATGTGGGTGGTCAGGGAACCCCAACTAGCTAATCTTTCGTTTTCTTTGTTTGGGGGAATTGGGTTTTGTTTGCATGTCTGTGGCAGGGTCTCCCAACGGAGCCTAGGCCGGCCTCAAACTTTGAACCTTCCTGCCTCTGCCTCACAAGTGCGAAGCTACAGGAGTATGCCACCAGGCCCAACAAACTCATTATTTTGGAGAAGCGTAACTACCTGAGAGAACCTTCCAGGGTTTCCAGCCATCCCTTACCCTGACTCCTAGCCTCATTCAGCAGTCCTAAGGCAGCATCCGATTCCTTCTTCTCATAAAAGGAATCAAGAAATGTTGCTGTTTAGAAATACTCCCTTCTGGCAGGATGCAGACTTGAGAATAGAGATGTGACAACAATTCCGAAATGTTCTTTTAAGACACATGCGCGCACGCACGCTCTCACACCCCAGTCCCCCATAGTACACAGATCACCCATTTGGTTTCCACACACAAAATACACAAACTGACCTCAGATGACAGTTGTTTGAAGCGGCTCAGATGTTGCCGTTGTGCCGCCAGCCCTGTCCCCGCCCCATGCGCCAGATGCCCACCCTGCTTCGCGTGGTCCCCTGGGGCTGCACCATGTGTCAGCCGGGGCACTCACTCCGTCCTCAGCTCAGCTCTGCCCACTTCTTGTCCACTCTCGTGGCCTGGAAAGTATCTTGCAAAAGCCTTGCGGTCAGAGCCGCCCAGCAGCAGCTGTGTTCCAGGCAGGGCACCCGGCCCGCTGTGGGGCAAGGCCAGACACTGCAAGGCTTCCGCTACTCTCCTGGTTTTATCCTTGATCCAGAAGGAAAAATGTTGGAGCCTGGTTCCTGTGACTCGTACCTGTCATCCTAGCTACTCAGGAGGCTGAAATCTGAGGATCTCAGTTCAAAGGCAGGAAAGTCCATGAGACTTTTATCTCCAGTAAACTATACCTCCCTCCCCCCTCCAAAAAAAGCCAGAAGTAGAGCTGTGGCTCAAGTGGTAGAGCATTAGCTTTAAGCAGAAGCAGCTCAGGGACAGTACCCAGGCCCTGAGTTCAAGTCCCAGGACCAGCACACATACTGGGTGCCACAGGCCGTGGTGATAGATGATTTAGTAACTAAGTTAAGCTTATTAGGACTTCATTCCCTGCATCTCAGGAATATTTTGGAGGCTGGATATAATCTCCAAATAAGATAAGGGCTGCTGAAGCCATCGAGTTTTATGTTATTATTACTTTTTTTTAGTATTTCTAGCAGTGCTAGGTAGGTGGAAACTACCCGGTAGGGACAGTGTGACATTTCCCAGCCAGGAGCTCCGGTTCTACAGATGGAGGGAGCAGGCCCATCCTTACCAGTGTGACCTTGGACAGCGCCCTACTAGACTGGCTGTCCTGGTCACAGACAGGTGTACTCGTCCATCGCCCAAAGGTTTATTAGGCCCAAAGCCTAGTCCGGACTTCAGCAGACAAAACCCAGTAAACATAACCTGATTTCTGTGCTCATGGGTTGACTCGGGCTGGGGAGGGGCAGAGGGGGTCAGTATGGGCAGGTGGGGTTCTGGCCGAGGAGCTGGCTAACTGCAAGTCTGAAAAGGTTCATGTATAGCAGTGTGATGGGAGATCTTTCTGGGACAAAGTACACATGGGGGGGGAGTTCCAAAATGGCAGGCCTCAAGGCCATGCTTGCCCGGTCCACAGAGGTGCCCCGGAGTCTCAGACCCAGTGGTCACCATGCACTTAGCAGTCAGCAGAGGACATGAGAAGCATTGCTCCGAAGAACTCAGCTTTAGTGAGATTTTTGTCAGCCACAAAAGGATTTTCACCAGGACAGGCCTCAAATGAAAACGGCCTCCAGGCCAGGCCTGAGCGCGAGCCCAACGTCCACACTGCTTTCTTTCCTCCCAGGTTATAATCAGCACTCACCTGTCCCTCCTCTCAGTGCCTCTGCTCCCTGGGACAAGCACAGCAGCGCTGCCTGGCTGTTGTGAAACTTTCACTGGGCTGCCAGGCCGCATGCCTTCGCATCCGGGGCTCAGGTCCTGACCAATCACCATTTCCCCTGGAGCTCCGCAGCTCAGTCCCACGCTGGGCCTGGAGATCCACATACACTCAGCATCAGACGTCAGCCCGTCAGCCCGGCCGGCACACGCTCCCTGCCCGCCCGCCGCCACTTTCATCCCCATTTTCTCCAGTTGGATCAAGGAGAAAAGTGATTTTTTTTTTTTTAAAGCCTGGCTGACACAGCTATATTTCTCCCTATTTCCTTCGCATTTCTTAACCTCTCCTTGTACAGCCTACAGGTCCATGACTTGTTTTAATATTTAAAGACTTCATATTTTTTAGAGTGGTTTCAGGTTCCCAGAAAAGTTGAAAAGGGTACCCCGAATTCTGCACAGTCCCCACCCCACCACCTATGCACCCCACCCTCCCGCCGTCCCCTCCAACACTGGAGCAGCATCGGTGACACTGATCGCCGGCACGGGCACCTTGTGTTCACCTCAAGCTCCTAGTGCACCATAAAGTTCACTGTTGGCCTTGTACATTCTGGGGCTTTGGTCAAATGCATAATGGCTTGTATCTATGATTATCCAGACTTGTTCTGAAGCCCTAACCCTCCTCTGTGCCCCGCCTGTCTATCCCCTACAAACAAGCAGGGCGCTTGTTTGTATGTGGGGCTCAGCCGCTCAGCCATCCACTGACCTTCACGCACACACCAATAGAAGCAGCTTCTGTTGAGAGTCGGCATCTTAGGACCATCAGGTTGCCAGTGAGCTCTGGACTCGGTCCTGTGTCCTCTGCTCCGACCCACTGCTTCTTGTCAGTGCCACTGGCAGACCAGGGTGTTTCCTGGGCGTCCTGATTGGAATGCGAATTTGTACTCCTGTTTCTTTAAGTGGCCCTTTGAGAAGAATGCATACCTTTAATTTTTTTTTTTTGAAAGCGCTAAGTTGTGTTGGAAGACTGATTATGTCTTGAAACATCTGGATGATAATAAGCGTCTCTCTAAGTGCTTAACTTGGAAATGCACAATGTGATGATTTGTCATATACTCAGAGTCTGGGGGAAGGGTTCCTTCGAGTGGCTAAGACATTCTGTTAATTGATTGCTGTTTTTCTTTTCTGCCTCTCATTTCAGAACGGTTTGATCACCACTGTCCCTGGGTAGGCAACTGTGTGGGGAAAAGAAACTACAGATTTTTTTATATGTTTATTTTATCCCTGTCTTTTCTGACAGTCTTTATATTTGCATTCGTTATCACCCACGTCATCCTTCGTAAGTATGCTGACGAAATCAGATTACGTATGTAACCATTTACCTGACTTTGGTTTTCTGATTTAATTTTGATTTACTATTTTGATCATTTCGGGCTCTCTCCTCCTTCCTTTTCCTTTTCCTTCTTCACTCTCCCTGCCCTGTTTCTCTCTTCCTCCTTCCTCTCCATCTCTCCATCTCTCCCCATCCCTTCCTTCCACCAGCACTTTCCCCAGGGCCTCGCCTAGACCAGGTTCACTGCCACTAGCAGGACTTTCCCTTGAAACACCTGTCACCATTCCAACTTGGTAGTTCTGCTAAGGGATCCTCTTGAAAGATTCATCCCCGCATTCTGTACAAAGGCCTTCGTGCCACAGTGAAAATAACCATGAATAGCAGAGCCTGTTTTCCTTAACACAATATCTACTTATACTGGAAGTTACTATCCCCAGAAAACAAGGTCTGGGATAAAGAATAGGTTTCCTTATACACATTTTTATATGCTTAAAATATCTAGCTGGGCGCCAGTGGCTCATGCATGTAATCCTAGCTACTCAGGAGGCTAAGATCTGAGGATCACGGTTCAAAGCCAGCCCGGGCAGGAAAAGCTGTGAAACTCTTATCTCCAATAAACCACCAGAAAACCAGAAGTGGCACTGTGGCTCAAGTGGTAGAGCGCTAACCTTGAGCTGAAGAACTGAGAGACAGTGCTCAGGCCCAGAGTTCAAGCCCCATGATCAACAAAAAACAAAATATCCATTTACAGAGATATCCATTTATCTGCAAGAATGCAGGCTAATGACCCCTGGCGTGTAAAGAGAGCAACCATATTAAAAATCAGATTTAGATGTAAATGATCTTGATGTATTTGTGTAAGCATAAATTGAATGGCATTTGTTTTTCAATCCCAATTCTGAAGGTCATAACTTTGACTTTCTTTGGTCTGTGATCCTTTGCTTTCCTTCAGTGGGAAGTGAGCGGAAGGATGTTAATTGACTTTGAACTGTAATTCAGGTCTTTAAACCTCCATGGTGGTGCCATGCTGCATTAGAAGCCAGCCTTTCCTCTCGTCCACATTCCTGGTATAGCCAACCACCCACTACCCTGTCTCTGTCAGGCTTCTGGAAGTACCAGAGAGGCCTCGCTGGCTTCGCCTAGCAGTGATGGCCCCCAGCTTGGGCTCTACAGAGCTGTCCCCTTTCTATCACTTTCCAGAAACCCAACATGGTAAAATTGGAGCCAGGGTCCTTTCTTTAGATTCACAGACAAAAAGAATCAGAAAGAAAGCCTAAAATATTACATGGTATTTGCAAAGAAACAATTATTGACCTAATCTGAGAATAAATATCAATACCAGAATACATATGCCACTAACAAGTAGTATGTGACCCTAAATCCTTGTCATCTCTGAAGCGCTCTTTGAACTTTTATGTATTATCAGATCACATTTATGACATCACCTCCCACGCTCTGCATGTCAAGGGTCAGCTTTCACTCACTCACTCATGTGTGAACTCCAGAACACACACACACACACACACACACACAACTTTCACACAGTCTCACATTCACATTTCACACTGTCTCATACCTTCCACACTCATCTCCTCTCACTGCACACACTCAAATATACACACAGTCACTCACAGGCTCTCACACCCCCTCACAGTGACACTCACAAACCTCTTACCCTGTCACACTCACTGTTTAAACATACTCACGCACTCCTACATGTGGGGGCCGTAGCCAGCCACAACTGGGGTCTGTGTCGTCCACACACACGGCCGCTGGACGCTCACGCACCTGCACTCCTGCACTCTGCACTTTACTGTCATTAAATATTATTCATCCAATCTACAAACTAGAAGAACTTATCTGCCTGAAAATAACTGAATGTTTCAGACAAAAGTAAATATGCTTCGCCTTTCCCCTTCTTCTGCACCTCCAAAGCCCCCACAAAGCATCTTGTCCTCCATCTGGCTGGGCACCATGATGTTTTTAGGAAAGCAAAGGGTTTGCATGGCCTTTGTGTCCTATTCAGAGTCAGAAAGCAATGGACAGAGGCAGAGAACCGGAAGCCCCGTCACCTGAGCCTTCTCTACTGGGAAGCAGGCTCTGAGTAGAGGACGTGACTGGAGGCTGGGGAGAATTCTGGGACCGGGGCATCCTGGAAAACTCTTTTTATAGGAGAAAGAACATTTAGGCAAGCAGTAGAACGTGAGGGTAGCAGAGAAAGAGAAGAAATCATTTCTTCTAGTCTCCTCGATGTGCCTCAGGATTGTATTTGCCCAACACCATCAGCGTGGCCAGGCTGGCGGTGCCCTCCCGGCCTCAGGGAGTTATAAGAGGAAGGTTTAAACTCCAGCTTCCTCATTAGTTCTGCACAGCCCCGTTCCCTCCTACCATGGTGTCCTTGTACCTCTGGTGGGCAAGATGCCCAGAGGGAGGGTCATCTCCAGGACAGAGATGGAGGTGAGCCTCCCTCCTCACCGCACAGTTGTGGGGACACACGGAGTCGAGGGCCCTGCCACTCTCTGACTCCCACCCTGCAGCCAGACTGGTTAACGCAGGGCTGCAGCCACCCCCCGGCCTCCATGCCAGATCTGCACATCTCATTGCTGCAGAAGGGCTAACTGCCCGGTGGAGCACAGTGGCTTCCACAGAACAGGGACCAGGCCTCAAGATGGCAGTGCCAAGACTTCCTCCAAAGCCCATGCCTGTAACCCTAGCTACTCAGGAGGCTGAGATCTGAGGATTGTTGTTCAAAGCCAGCCCAGGGAGGAAAGTCCATGAGATTCTCATTATCTCTAATGAACTACCAAAAAGCTGAACGTAGGTCTGTGCCTCAAGCTGCTGAGTGCTAGCCTTGAGTGAAAAAGCTAAGGGAAAAGCACCCCTCACAACCTGAGTTCAAGCCCCAATTCCTCCACACCCTTCCCCCAAAAAGACTTAGTCCTAATGGGGTTTTATTGTTACAAGTGTTGGGGACACACTACTGTGCCAACACATTGAACAACAATTGCTTTCCATCAGCTGCAGCTTTACAAAAACCCCAGAAAAAAAAATGTTTTCTTGCAAAGACAATTCCTATTATAAGTCTTAAACCCAAAAGGAGTCAGTCATGAACTTCAGCTTTACAGCTTTGTTTACTCTGGGTGCAGAGAAAGAAGTCTATTTCATATGGAGCCTAGTTCCTAGGAATTTTAGGGTCAGAAGTTAATAAATTTGGGGAAAACAGGAAAGAAAAAAAATAGCATATAATATTTTGTTTTCCTGTTAAAAATGAGGAAAACAAAAGAGTAATCAGAACCATAATTTATGGGGAAGTACGCTGGCACCCATCTGCTTTTATTGGAAAAAATGCCTTGCAGATGTTGGGTGTAATTACGTTTCTGCCATATTTGTGTTGAATAAGTTCAAGGGAATCACAGACTCCCATCAGGAAACCGGATTCCACAGCACTCAGGAAATGTAATTGTTTCATTGATCTTTGGATAGTTACCACTTTTATGAAGACAAGAGCTTTTGCGTGAGGCTGTCCAGGAGCTGAATATCGGAATGCTAAATGCTGTTTCGTTCCCACAGGTTCCCAGCAAACAGGATTCCTCAATGCCCTCAAGGACAGTCCCGCCAGATATCCTTTCTTGTGCTTGGTGCCGTGGTAATGTGTTCAGTATTCGTGGACTTCTCTCCCCTTCCCTTCTCCTCACTGGCTTTAGCTTTTCTTCTGGTTAATCTTATTCTTACTCATTCTGTCAGGCATCCAACAAGTCCCATATATATATATATATATATATATATATATATATATATATATATATATATATATATTTCACATTTTTAATAATATTCACACTCATGATAATATTCATGTTTGTGACAAAAGTGACCATCCGGACTCTTGGATCTCTGTGTGACTCACGCAGCCTTGTCTCAATTAAAGTGTTCTTTAGCCAGAGACCTCAACAGGAACCCTCCTTCCCCACATCCCAGCATCAAGTAGTATTGGCTGTGCTTGGGTGGCACTGGTAGAAACACAAGCTGCCTCCCCCTAGCACCCCCGTGATGGGTGGGCGGTCCAAACAGATCCCTGGTGGATGCCAGGTGGCGTCCCCAAGCCGTTTGGGTGAGGTGTCTGGGTGCAGTGTGGCATTCCTTTGGGAGTTCAGGTGACCCAGATGTTACTTCTAGACATTGAACTCCCTTCATGGTCCTGAGGTACAAAGATGGTCAGACTAACTGAGGACTGCCTCCAAAAGAGGATAGACGGTTCTTGAAAGAAAAATATTCACCTATTACGTGCTTCAATGGGCTTCTGCTGAATGGTTTACCCGACTGCTGTGGAATCTACCACAAGCACCTACTGGCCCGGCTCCTTGGGAGACAGCTTATTCCACATGTAACTGGGTAAATTGCACTTACGCTCCTCATGCGTGGTTTTCACGTAGAGTGGAAAATCTGCCACGTGTGCATACATGTACTTCTTAAAGTAACATGGTCCACATGTCTCAGAACTGGTGAGAACGGCAGGCGGGCGGCAGAGGTAGACAGACAGATGGCGAAACACGTGTTGCCACATAGGTATATCCACGCGCAGGGAAGCATGTCCTCCTGGCCTCTGCAGCTGTGGGCAGCATTGGACGTTGGTTCTGTGGTTTAGTTCGTTCTGTGGTGTAGTTGGTTCTGGGGTGTAGTTGGTTCTGGGGTGTAGTTGGTTCTGGGGTGTAGTTGCTTCTGTGGTGTAGTTGGTTCTGTGCTGTGGTTCGTTCTGTGGTGTGGCTGGTTCTGTGGTGTGGTTGGTTCTGTGGTGTGGCTGGTTCTGTGGTTTAGTTCGTTCTGTGGTGTGGTTGGTTCTGTGGTGTAGTTCGTTCTGTGGTGTGGTTGGTTCTGTGGTGTAGTTCGTTCTGTGGTGTAGTTGGTTCTGGAGTGCAGTTGGTTCTGTGGTGTAGTTGGTTCTGTGGTGTGGTTGGTCCTGTGATGTGACTGGTTCTGTGATGTGGTTGGTTCTGTGGTGTAGTTGCTTCTGGGGTGCAGTTGCTTCTGTGGTGTAGTTGCTTCTGTGGTGTGGCTGGTTCTGTGGTGTGGTTCGTTCTGTGGTGTGGTTAGTTCTGTGGTGTAGTTGCTTCTGTGGTGTAGTTGCTTCTGTGGTGTAGTTGCTTCTGTGGTGTAGTTGCTTCTGTGGTGTGGCTGGTTCTGTGGTGTGGCTGGTTCTGTGGTGTGGCTGGTTCTGTGCTGTGGTTTGTTCTGTGATGTGGTTGGTTCTGTGCTGTGGTTGGTTCTGTGGTGTGGTTGGTTCTGTGGTGTGGCTGGTTCTGTGGTGTGGTTGGTTCTGTGGTGTGGTTGGTTCTGTGCTGTGGTTGGTTCTGTGCTGTGGTTGGTTCTGTGGTGTGGCTGGTTCTGTGGTGTGGCTGGTTCTGTGGTGTGGCTGGTTCTGTGGTGTGGCTGGTTCTGTGGTGTGGTTGGTTCTGTGGTGTGGCTGGTTCTGTGGTGTGGCTGGTTCTGTGGTGTGGCTGGTTCTGTGGTGTGGCTGGTTCTGTGGTGTGGCTGGTTCTGTGGTGTGGTTGGTTCTGTGGTGTGGTTGGTTCTGTGCTGTGGTTGGTTCTGTGCTGTGGTTGGTTCTGTGCTGTGGTTGGTTCTGTGGTGTGGCTGGTTCTGTGGTGTGGCTGGTTCTGTGGTGTGGCTGGTTCTGTGGTGTGGCTGGTTCTGTGGTGTGGCTGGTTCTGTGGTGTGGCTGGTTCTGTGGTGTGGTTGGTTCTGTGGTGTGGTTGGTTCTGTGGTGTGGCTGGTTCTGTGGTGTGGCTGGTTCTGTGGTGTGGCTGGTTCTGTGGTGTGGCTGGTTCTGTGGTGTGGCTGGTTCTGTGGTGTGGCTGGTTCTGTGGTGTGGTTGGTTCTGTGGTGTGGCTGGTTCTGTGGTGTGGCTGGTTCTGTGGTGTGGTTGGTTCTGTGGTGTAGTTGCTTCTGTGGTGTAGTTGCTTCTGTGGTGTAGTGCAATCTGCGTGGTGAAGACACAGAGGAGACACAGGGACAGCGCATAAAGGAGACTTGGAGCCAATTCCACTGGTGTGTCCTCTTGGATTAGTGACATGGGAAGCTGAAGTGAGCCAGGAGCTGGCCAGAAAGCAAAATAGTCATCATAGCCTCATCTACACTAACAAGAACAAGTCCATTCAAAACCGATTCGGCATTCTTCCCCCACACCCACCCCAGACGCCACGTGAGCTCAGGGTCTTCTTGCACTTGATTGGCAGCTGCTCCTACCACTCCTCCCCCCCCCACCCACACACACATGCACACCACCAGTCCTTTTTACTCTCAGCATTTCTCAGATTGGGTCTCACCCTTTTGTTAGGAAAACAATCCTCCTCTTTCTGCTTCCTGAGTAGCTGAGATTACAGGCATGTACTACCATGCCCAGTCTGCTTTAACATATTCCAAGGTCTGCCTTCTTTCCAGAGGACAGGCTGGTCAGAGTTTTTCAGGGAATCAGTGGCGTAGATGCTGGCCATCAGTGGATGCTGGATATCTATGACGTGACACACTCAGTCTGTCCAGAGTGGTGCTCTGTAAGGCTGCAAGTTCTTAGCAGTGGAGGAGGCAGCATCAAGGCTGGACCGCCTAAGCTCAGGACTGAGCCTAATTGAACCTCACAGGTGACCTCTTTGGAGAGCTCTCAGGTGAGAAGACAGCTTTGTTTTTAAGTGGACTGGAAGCATGGCTCAAGTGGCAGAGTGCCAGGTGAGCAAACAAGCTGGGTGATGGAGGCAGAGTTTGAGCCCAACTTTAGGCAAAAGAACACAAGGCTAGATAGACATACAGACAGACAGATGGATAGATAATAGGTAGATAGATGGACAGGTAGACAGATGGATGATAGAAAGATACATAGATAGACAAGTAGATAGATAATCGATAATAGATAGATGGATTCATAACTAGATAGACAGACCAGACAAGAGCAATGCCTTTGACAAAGTAGAAATGAGAATGATCTCAGAGATCCCACACCCGCGAGCCTCCACACCAGCCTCCACCCCAGCCACACCGCCAGGGTCCTCTGTCGTTGCTCCTGTAAGATGGAAGGAGGGAGGGCTGCAGTCTCGAATGCCCGCGGAGTCGCGTGGTGATGCCTCCTTGAGTCGCAGAGCTGGAAACCTGCACACGTGCAGCGAGAATCGGGCTGACATCCTTGAGGGGAGTCCCCAGAGAGGAGAACCCAGCCATCCTCAATCATGTCAACGTCACATGGCATTCATGTCCCATTGCAGAGGATTACAGTCATTTTTAATCATGACTTATTGTTCCATTCTCCCAAAATGAAAGGGATTTTCTGTGATTGGTAAATCAGATGGTAATTGATTCTGCATTCACGGAGGCTCTAGCAAAAGCCTCTTTATCCCAGGTTTGCAGTCACTGCTGTGATTACCCCTCTGACAGGCACTCATGGCCCAATACACACTGTCTAATTTCATGGCATCTAGAAAAAGGCTCAGAATTGGCCCCAGGGCCCACAGAAAAGAGGGCACTAGTCCCCACCTTGGGAAAACAATGAAGACCCCTCAGGCGTTCACTGGCCTGACCATCCTGAGGGCTGTTAATACTCACAAGGACCCCAGAACACGGGACTGAGGAGCACCTGTGCTGAGACAGTAAATGCCATCTCCAGAGGATACCACCGCTGTGTCAGCAGGCTCACCCAGCTCCGGCCCTGCTCTACTTGGAATGGCACACTTTCTCCGTGTCCCTAACCAGTTGTGAAGAATGATCATCAGATGAGATCATGTAAGATCGCAATGCAGGGAGGAGCTTGTGTGAGATTTTTGAACCATTCAGATAATATGAGAACATGTCATACAGATTTTCTAATAGAAATGCGGTGGTGAAAACAGATGTGTTATCCATGGTCTCCACCCCCCTCCCTGATGGCAATCCTTGTCCATATCATTCTTCAGAAGATCTTCGTGGTCCTGGGATGCATGTGTGTACATTCATACGCATTCCTCTGCACCATTAAGTGTGGCTGTCCCTAAAAATTAGAATCCTACTTTCTGCATTGTTCTGCAGATTTTTCTTTTGACATTTCTTAGAGATACTTCCATATCACTGTACAGATCTACCTCATTCTCTTTTTTTTCACTTCTTAACCACTTTCTAGAATTCCAAGGTATGGATAACCATCCTTGATTCATAGTCTATTGATAGGAAATTTCTTTTTATTGGTTCAGACAGTGAGGTATTAAATTTTCTTTCATATAACTCTTTGTGAACTAATGCCAGTATCTCTCTGACACCGATAGTTAGGTGTAAAATCTGAGTTGAAAGTTAAGCATATTTTAAATCTTGATAGACTGACTAATTGGTCCTGAAAAGAGATCATACCGATTTCTTCTCTCCAGCCATACCATACGCTGAGTCTTTGCCTGTCCTTTCTGCCAATTGGACAGGCAGAAAATGTCTCATTGTATTAATTTCTACATTGTAGATAAAAAAAAATCTCATCTCGCATTTCATGATCATTGGATTTTTTTTAAGCCACAATGTGCAGTTCACAGCGTGTGTCCCCTTTTAGTTGGTTATTCCTCATCTATGAACAAGACAAACTAATCCAACCTGAAACACAATGGCGATGTCTCACAGCCTGGCCTACATGGCTTCCATCCTTGGGGGCATGAGGAAGACAAGAGGTTTATTTTCTTTGGTCTGTAGTTGATGGTGAGGAGAGTAAGATGTATAGTTACACCACCCCATGATGGATGGGCTTCTTCCTGAGAATGTGTATCTTGTAAACAGAGTCTTCCCAGACATTTTTCTGGTAGGCAGATGCAGCGTTCGGATGGCCACACGCACGGCGGCGCATCTCAGCTGTTGAAAGACAGGAGTTTTGCCTTTGGTGCGAGCGCTCCATGTGCCATGCGTGACTTCTCCTCTAAGAAGGACGTCACCACGCCAGAGCTGTGGCTGAAGGGCTGGGAGGGGTCCCCTGAGGGGCGGCTTGCTCACACTGGAGCGGTTCTGAAGTGCTGGCCTCTGCTCCTCAACCTTGCTGGAGAGAGCCACGTGTGCGTCATTGTCTGCCTCACAAGCTAGGGTGTCTGCCGGCGGGATGGTCCTATTGAGTCCTTTCATCCAAGGCCCCAGCTAGGTCAGCTTGAACCATGTGATTCCTTTTGGTACCTCTTTCCTTGACCCCCTGAGGCAGGGGAGAGGGTGAATTTGGGGGGGAAACAGTGAGGGGGGGCTCTCACTATAAAGAAGTAAGTAAGCTGGGTGCCAGTGGCTCACACCTGCCATCCTACCTACTCAGGAGGCCAAGATCTGAGGATTGCGGTTCAAAGACAGCCTGGGCAGGAAAGTCTGTGAGATTCTTGCCTACTAAATTACCGGCTAAACTACACAGAAAAAGCCAGAAGTGGTGCTGTGGCTCAAGTGATAGAGTGCTAGCCTTGAATACAAAGAGGCTCTGAGTTCAAGACTCAGACTGGCAAGAAAGGAAGGAAGGAAGGAAGGAAAGAAAAGAAAAGAAAGTGTCCAAACACCTGTGGCTCCTGCCTGTAATCCCTACTACTGACGAGGCTGTGATTTAAGCATCATGGTTTGAAGCCAGCCGAATCAGGTAAACCTGAGGGAATCTTATCTCCAATGAACCAACAAACAGCTGGAAGTGGAAGTTTGCCTCAAATGGGTAGAATGCCATCTTTGAGCAAAAAAGCTAAACAATAGTGTGAGGCCCTGAGTTCAAGTACTAGTACCTGCGCATGCGCGTGCACGCACGCGCACACAAACACACACACACACACACACACACACACACACTCACACACTGATAAAGACGATGGTGCTTAGGGAAGGCCATGAGTCACTGATGGAGCCGGCACGGCCGTGTACGGAGGGGGATGGGAGACCCTGACATCGTCCTCATCCTGAAGGACGTCCCCCACACACATGGAATGGAGAGGACTCGAGGCTAGACCAGCGAGGGGGAGGGCTCCCCGTCATCACAGCTCCCAGCTGCAGGGGTGTCCGCGTCTCCTTGACTCCGCCACTGTGCTGGAGGCCGTGGTGTGCTTCTTCTCCGTCTGGTCCATCATCGGCCTCTCAGGATTCCATACGTACCTGATCAGCTCCAATCAGACAACCAATGAAGATGTAAGTTCCCGACCACGGGGCACAGGGGGGACAGGGAGAGGGGGAGGGTGTAGGGAGGGGTTGGGGGCCCGCCTCCCCCACACACACTCCCCTCCCCCCCCCCCCTGCTGGGAGCCCTGGGAGCAGTGAGCATGCTCTGGAGCATTGCTGTGTGTCGTATGTGTCCGCCGTGCTGGGCATTTCTGCATTCTCCTCTTCTTCTCTGACTGTGTCAGTCAAATGCTAAGACTGGCCAGGGGACCCCAGTCAGGCCAGGAGAAGCCCTTTCCGTTATTGCTAAATAACTGTGGAAGCTGCTTGCAGCATTTCGTCTCACGAAGAGAGTTCATGGCGGTGTGACATCCCGGAATGATTGATGACGCATCTGCCTTTCATACTTCATGTCTCTTTTTAGTTTGGGGCAGTAATTGCCCTGACCCAAAGTTTAACTTTATATCCAGGACCATCTGCTTGTATTTAATTCCGGTACAGGAGAGGAACAAAACATGTGTCAGTAAGCATGGTCCTAGTTGCTGCATATGCAGAAACTGTCCTGCATACACAGAAACTGCTGCGTGCGCAGAAACTGAATGTCTCAGAACACGTCAGATTACCTTAAACAAAGCTGTGAGGGAAAATTCTGTGGTATCTCAGCATGGTCATACATGCCTGTAATTCCAGCTATTTGGTAGGCAGAGACAGGAAGATGGTGAGCTCAAGGCCAGGCCAGATTCTGCGAGGTTAGCCAGACCTCATGATATCACATTACATTATATTATGTTACAGAGGGGGTAACGAATATCTAGAGTGTTTACCTAGCAAGTGTGAGGCCTCTGGCTTCATTACCCACTACTGAAAACGAAATCAGAAAAGGAATTAGTGGTGATAAAATACACAGAGTAGGAGAGTTCATTTGATTTGTAACTGTGCATAGTAGAACCTGCACGGCAGACTATTTTATGAAGACCATGGGCTGGATTCTGTTTCTAACCTGGCAATTGGGAGCCACGCCCACTTTCCAGCCACCATTCATTTAATTGGTTTGGGTGGAAGATGTATGAAAACATGACCACCGCCACTGGCGTACATTGGAGGACCTGTTGGTACCATGCAGTACAAATAGATTAGCAACCCCAAACAGCATCATCTAAGCTGCTGTTTGAGGATGACTCTAAGTTTGAGGGGAATGCTTCTTTTCTTCTAGAAAAGTACCTCCGTTTCTCCTGGCGAGGAAATGAGCGAAGATTATTTGCATTCCCCGTAGGCTTCTCTGGGCATAGTTTGCCAAAAGGTGGTGGCAGGCGGTAGCATTGGTCTGGAGGACATTGTGTGATGGTGGCGTACCTTTTCTTTCAGATCAAAGGATCTTGGTCAAACAAAAGAGGTAAAGAAAATTACAATCCCTACAGCTATGGAAATATCTTTACAAATTGCTGCGTTGCCTTGTGTGGACCCATCTCTCCAAGGTAAGACCCAGAAAGCAGCCTGCTCCTGACAGATCTGGAAAAGTCTCCTCCGTGTTAGCACAGGTCCTCCACTCCGGGCGCCCTCCCCCCCCCCCAACTCCACCCCTCACAGCCCATAGATGCAGCCCCTGAAGTAGCGATCTGCCTCTGGTGGTGTTGATCCCTCTGCACATGGTTTGTGGTCTTAAACTAAATTTGTGTCAGGCTTAAGAACAATTCCCTAGTGCTTGGAATAAGGAAACTCCGTTAATTATTGAGTGAGTTCGAGCATCAGTGATGAGCCGGGAGCTAGGGTCAGCATAGTAAAGCAGCCAGGACAGGGAACCTAGGAAAGCAATTTAAAACCTGTGGGCTCTGGTGCTGAAGGCTGAGTGGCCCAGGCTAGAAAGCTTGAAAGCCGCGGGGGCAGGGAGGGGTAGCCAGGCGTGCTGGACATTGTGGAGGTGACAGTGATGGTAACCGTGGCAGTAGCTGACATTTATTAACTTGTGTTCACCCTCCTCTGTGCGTTTTAGAGGCACTTGCTTTGTTGTGTTTCTGTCAGTTCTAGAGCTTGAACTCTGGGCCTCTCCCTCTCAGCCTTTTTTCTCAAGGCTTGAGGAGCTCTACCATTTGAGTCACACCTCCACCTCTGCTTTGTATTTGTAGGTCTCCTCACAATCCAAAAGACTTTTTGTCACAGTCGCGCACTTCTGGGGAAGCTCCTCCCCCTTGGAACTGCTTTAACTGCTTGCAGGGAGGTGCGCCGGGGGCCAGATAATCACAGCTACTCAGGAGGCAGAGATAGGAGAATCACCTCCCAAAGCCAGCCTGGGGCAAAAAAGAAAAAGAACTAAAGCAAAAAGGGCTAGAGGCATGTCCCACGGGAGCAGACCTGTCTGGCAAACACAAGCTCAAATTCCAGTGCCCCCCAAAGCAATAAGTGAACTGCGGTCCACTGAAACAGTGAGCAGTGAGCGCCTCCCAGCCGGCAGCAGCGCGGAGGTCGCGGCTGTGACCGGGCCCCACCCGAGCCGCCCCGGCCGCCGTGTCGGGTGGAAGCAGGAAGGCAGAGGGAACACACGCCGGTTAAAGTGAGCACCAACTTGGCGGGAGCCCTCGGCGGCCAGTCCCAGGCTGAGGGCTGCTTGGCGGCTTCCGAGGGGTCAGGCCTGGCCAGGCGGAACCAGCTTCAGTGTGTGGCCGCTGGCCTCCAGGCCTTTTCACACATTCTAGAACATGCCGTGGGGGAGGGGCACGATCGGCTCCCGGCCCTCCCTCACTCCCTGCCCGGGGAAGCTGTGAGGGCGGAGGTGATTCTGAGGGCGGAGATGTTTGACTCACCTCCGCTCTTCCTTCCTGCCCTCTTCTCATGGTCTCCTCCCTCGGCCGGCCTCACGCCCATCCTGTGCCCTCCCGCTCGAGCCCAGCCTCCCCGGGCGCGGCTGCCGGTGCTGAGCGGCCTCCCTCCCCAGCTTCATTGCCTCGCGTGGGTGATACATGGCGGCGTGATGCGCTCATGAGCGGAGCGTGTGTCTCCCTGTCCCCACCGAGAGTCCCAGGCCACCTGTGCGGTGTCACCAGAGGGCCGGGGCGGCTCCCAGGGGCCTCGCGCAGCGTGGAGGGAGGAATGGCAAACGGGGAAGTCACGCTGAGTACTTCTGTCGGGCGGACGTGGAGTGCTCGCCCAGGGCCATCCATGGCAAGCCGTGCACAGCACAGTCCCCTCGGCCCCTCTGGGCTGGGGGGTGATGGGTAGGGATTTGGGGGAGGCACTGTGGGCGGCAGGGACTTGACAGATGGGAGACAGCATTGCCAGGGCCACGAAGGGAGGCCCTGGTCTGGGGGGGGGGCCGAGGCATGGCACGGGGGTTCAGGGCCATTCGGAGGGCCTGGGAACCCCGGGAGCAGCGGGCGTGGGGCAGAGCCCCGGCCCCGGCTGCGGGGCTGCTCCTGCCGCCCGATGCCCGTGGCAGACAGCCGTGGCAGGCAGCCGCGGCCCCCGCTGCCCGTGCACTCCTCAGTGAGAGCCCCACACATCCGTCACGCTCATTCTCCCTAACGTAGCGTCATTTCAATGAAGCAGACCGGCCCAGGGTCCCTGGAAGTTAGCGCTTCCCGTCCATCTTCCCACCCGAGGGGAGGGCTGGGGGAAAGGGGGCTCAGGGGCCAGGGGGGCCCTTCCCCAGGTCCTGGCCCGCGGTGGCGGGAGATCCTGGAAAGACCTGTCTTGGGGCCGGCCCCTCCGTGCAGCTCCCGGGGCTCCCCACACCGCCGGCCCCCGCGGCCCCTCACCGGCTCCCCCCCCCTCGCTCGGGAAGTGGCTCCCAAGATGCTCCGGAGTTCTCGGGCCCCTCGCAGCGGCCGAGCGTGGCCGGCAGTCCTTGGTCCTCCAGGGTCGTTTGGAGCCGCCTCGCCCAGCCTGTGCCTCTGCGTCACGTGGGAGACCACGTGACTCCACGTCAGTCTCGTAAGGCCCACCCTCCCCTTCACTCAACCCCATCTCTCAAGTGCCGGTTGGGGCTGCAAGCGGATATTTCCCCACCATTCCAGCCAGGATGCGCCTCTGCAGGCCCGTGGCAGGTGGACAGGGGAGCGGGAGGGAATGGGACTTAGAGCAGACATAGAAGAGACAAAGCACAGAGCGCACAGGCGAGCGAGACCCGGCGTGGCCCGCGCTGCAACCTGCGAGGTGTTCAGACCACGTGTGCCGCGAGACCCTAAGAGGCAGCGAGCATAAAACGTGAGCTGAGGCCGGACAGGAGAGCAGGCGACAGACCGTGGCCGGCCGAGGTGACAAGCCTTGTGGCACACGTTGAGACTGAGGAAGGGGACAGCGGCGCGGCGGGTCCCTGAAGGGCCGATCCACTGGGGGGGGGGGGGGGCATCCTAGAAAGAAGGGACCCAGACGTGGACGTCTTGATCCCCACTGCAGTGTCTGTAGGTTTTTCTTCATGCTCTCCCTCCTGTGTTTTCTTCTCGCGTGCAGCCTCATTGACAGACGAGGGTACATCCAGCCTGACACTCCGCAGCCCGCCGCGCCCTCCAATGGGATCACCATGTACGGAGCCACGCAGTCACAGAGTGACATGGTAGGGACGGCCAGCCCGCACAGCTTCTCTTCTACTCACAGGCTCCAACCCCGAGGCCAGCCACATGCTCGCTTGGGAATGGTCAAAGGGCAGATTAGGACAGTATTCAACAAGGGATCCGAGGCCGAGTCTGGCTAGCTCGCTGTTTCTTTGGTGTAGAACTAGACTGCATGTGAGCAGCAGCAAAACGTTGCGTCTCATTTCACCTCAGCAGCATCTCACAGTCACCCCATTTTATACAAGACGAAGTGGGGGATTTTTTTTATTTAAAATGCGAAATGACTTGCTCAGATCATGCGGGGGCTGGGTCCAGGCCTGTGTGCTCTCTGCCATGGGCCCTCGCTGGGTGTCAGCGACCTCTCCACACCTGGCCCTCCCATCTGTGGGCTGAGGAGACAGTGCCCCTCAGCCTCGGCTGCTCAGCAGAATTGCAACTCTCACACCCCAGTCCTGCTAGCTCAGAACCCCAGGGCAGGGCCCACGCTCTGGGATTAATAGGGTTCCGTGGATGAGTTTAATAGATGATCAGCAAGGAAAAACCATAGCCATAGCCTTCAAACTCTCCAAAAGTTGGGGTTATAAGAACGGTTTTGGAGCCACTTTTTGCTCTGGTTCAGAAAAAGTATCTTTTATCAGCTGGCTTACAAGTCAGAGTGACTCAGCTGAGACTCAGCTCACACATGGTCTATTCAGAAGAAAAAAGATAGGGAGAATTTCAACAACAGGTGCTTGATGAAGGTAAGGCAGGGGTAGGAGGTGATGGCTTAAAAAAAAAAAAAAGACAAGATCTGGTAGGTTTCAGACAAAGCTTCCTGGAAGAGATGATGTTTGCACTAAGTATAAAGATGACAATAAATTAGGCACCAAGGGTGAGAGAGGGAGGCAGGTTTCATCACTATAACAAAAAGTCTGAAATGATTCACTTAGGAAAGCTGTGGTTTGCTGGGCACCAGTGGCTCACACTTGTGAACCTGGCTACTCAGGAGGGCGAGATCAGAGGATTATGGGTCACGGTCGACCAGGGCAGCAAAGTCTGAGAGACTCATCTCCAATTAACCACCAAAAAAACCAGAAGTGGCACTGTGGCTCAAAGTGATGAGCCAAAGAGCTCAGAGACAATGCCTAGACCCAAGTTCAAGCCCCATGACAGGCAAAAAAAGAAAAAGAAAAGGTTTCTAGGGCACAGTTTAGAAGTTCAAGTCCCTGCTCTGTAGACACATTGCTTTTAGGCCTCTGGTGGAGGAGCCGGGTAGAAACGGAGAGAACACCGCAGAGCGAACTGCTCACCTGATGACCAGGAAGCAAAAGAGGGGAAGAATCAGAGCACGGGGAAGAATCAGAGCACGGGGTCTCACAGTCCTGTTTGAGGGCATGCTCCCAATGATCTAAATGCCTCCCGTAGGCCTCTTCTAGAAACTCCACCATCTCCCAGTAGCACCACCAGGATGAGCAATTCTCCACCAAAATTATAACAGGAGGGCCGTCCAAGCACAGCAAATGTAGAATCACAGCCAGGGTGGCACGAGGCTGCCAGGTGCATGCTGGGAAAGGTGAAGAGGAGAGCGTGGATAGGGGAACGGGAACTCAGGGCAGCTAAGCCAGGAAAGATGCACACAGAGGACCGCGGTGCCTTGTAAACCGGCGTGGGCTTTGTCCTGTAAAATGTCAGGGAGCCTGGCAGAGCGTCTGTTCGGCAAATACAACCTTCAGATTGTCATTTAGAGTGGATGGGGCTGGCAGTAGGCTAGGGTGGTCTGTGCTAGAACTGAGGGCAGACAGAGGAGTTCCTCACGCAGGGACTAAGGGGCGGGCCAGGACGGCAGAAACAGAGTTGAAAAGGACACAGCACAAACCAGGGTTTGAGACTTGAGGCCGTGGGAAGGTCTGGGAAAGGGAACCAGGGGCGTCTCCCCCCCACACACACCCCAACCTCGTGCTGAGTGAGATGGCTGTGCCTTGCACCAGTGACCAGTGGGTGAGGCTGACTTCAGCGTGTGGAATTCTCTGCTTGTGTTCTGGGCGCCGGGGGAATGTGGCAAGCAGGGGGGTGGAAGGCTCAAGGAAGTGTTGTTGACCCATGTTCATGAAGAAATGGAGTGCTGGATAGCGTGTGGAATAATGAAGATGATGTCGCTCCATTTGTCAGGTAGCTAGGATTAGTCACTCATCTTCCTAACGTTCCCTGCACCCACCGCTGCCGACTGTATGCACCCCACTACGTCACTCAGGTTTCCTCGTCTGATTGGCTGCTAGTGAGGACAGCAGAAGAGGGTGATCCTGAGAACTCAGTGAAGGAGAAGCCGGCAGCGCAGAGGACGGTAGATGGCAGAGAACTGGGGCTGACGCTTTGGGATGTGACGATCAGACAGGTTACCTAATTCCAGAATGGGAAAGTTAGGAAGCCAGTGACATCGCCACCCTGGACTGTGGGAGAAATGACTTAGAGCCTGTCATCTGTTTCATCTTCCCCCCACCAGTTTGTAACACAGGACTAGCACAGAGTAGGTGCTTATTAAACCTTCGATGGAACATATGTGAAAATCCCCCTTCTAGGGGCTCCCTCGTAGGAGGTTCTTAGCGAAAGTTAGGGTACAGTTGTCTTCTTCCTCATTCCTTCCATCCTCTGATCTGCCACATCTGTAAACAGTAGGCCTTAGCCACCCTACATACAGAACACAGAAGGAAAGGAGTTTCTTGGTCTAGTGATAACACAACATGGCCCATGAAAGAATGATCTGGACAGAACCAACCTGTGGCCAAGAGAGGTCATGGTTTACCCATGAGACTGCAGGCGAGTACTCTGTCCTTTGCAGGAACTGCAAAGAAACTGAAGGTCTGGGCAAATGCCTACGTTCGAAAACATGAAATCAGAGTTAATAAAATGTTGAATGTCTGTGAGACACATGAATATGTCAACCTCATTAACTGTTAAAACTTAACATTCATGAACGCGTAATTACATTTTAGAAATGATTTGTAGCTTGGGTTTCTCTTAACTCCCTAAGAATTCCTGAGCACACGTGTGATTACACAGAAGTCGTGATCAGCTATAAATGAAGTCATTTGCTCGCAGGCGGACACATGTGAAGGTCTCTGACTGGAGCCCCTCCCTGGCTGCCTTCCCATGCTGCCTGGCTAGCATGGTAGCATGAAGCCCAGCGTGGCCTCCTGCTTGTTCCAGGAGAAATCTTCTTGATGACATGACTGTGCCCTGACTGGCACTGCCCTGGGCACGCGCGCTCATCTTCGGGAGAGAATGAGATCAATCCCTCGACCTACAAGGTCAGAGCGGGGACCGCCTGGATTGGGATTCAGATCCCCTCAATGCAGGAGACTCCGACACCCAGAGCTCACGTGGCAGACGGGAGTCCCAGAAAGTTCCACAGGGGAATTGAGTTCCTCCCTCCCCCGCAAGTCCAGACAGGGAATTCCACTGAACCTTGACCTTTAGGGTCCTTTCCAGTTCGTATCCTGTTGGACAGATGAGTTTCCAGCCCATGCCAACACATTCCGCTCTGCAGTTAATGTATAGGCCAGTCGGCACCTAGAATTGGGCCTTGTTATGTTTCCAGCTTTCTTTATAGGTTCCTGTGGTGTGCAAGTACTGGGCTAAGAGGACTACAGTCATGTGCAGCAAGGCTGGTATTAAGCAGAGCCCTCACCCCACTTTCCTCTTTCCGGTTTATTCACACCCACACCATAATGTTCACCATATTCATACCAAATGCTGCAGCAAGCCTTTACGTTGGTATCTCCCGATGGCCTTAGAGAACCCCCCAGAGGCTGGTGAGCAAATTGCCTCCATTTTAGCAGATTAATAAAACCCAGGGACCATGAGTACTTAACGGTATTTTGCCTAAAGCTTTTGCATGTTTACCCACAAGTCCCTGCTCTTAACCCTATGCTGTACCACCCCCCCCCATGAAATATTTGCAGAGAATTGACTGCATATAAAATGCTTTTTCCCACATTCTTTTAGTCTCTACAGCCTGTTATCCTCACTCCCTCTCCTGGAGAATCAGCATCTTGGAAATTAGAGATAAAGGACATAAAAGTCTTAGATAAACACCCTAATATTGCAAGGGACTCTTAGCTGGATAGCGGGGAAGCTGGCATTGCGTGGACTGGCTGGAGTCTCTACTGTGTCTCAGGTAGGGAGTCACCGGACGCCGGGGGCTCACAGCTGTAACCCTAGCTACTCGCGAGGCTGACATCTGAGGATCACTGTTTAAAGCCAGCCTGGGCAGGAAAGTCCATGAGATTCTCACCTCCAGTTAACCAGCATAAAGCTGGACATGGAGCTGTAGTTCAAATAGTAGAGTGCCAAACTTGAGCCATAAGGCTTAGGGAAAGTACTCTGACCCTAAGTTCAAACCTCAGTATCAGCACACACAAAAGAGTAGCAATAATAACAGTATATTTACTTAGACTGAAATTTCACATCCCCCCACAACTTGCTCTTAGAAGGTGTGGAACCTTCCAGAAGTGGGTCCCAATTGGAAGAAGTTAGGTGTGCCCTGGAAGGGGACACTGGGACCCAGTCCCTTTCTCTCTTGGCCTCTGGGCTGTGACGTGAGCAGTATCCCCACTGTGTGTGCTCACCGTAACGTCCTGAGCCGCCAAAGGTCCCAAGTGCCGGGGCCCAGGGATCACAGGCTACAGTTGCCAGACCAGGAGCCAAATAAACCTTTGCTCCCTCTAAGGCCCTTATCTCCGGTATTTCCTCACAGTCCTGGAAAGCTAACTGATACTCCCCTTAAACCAGTATCAAAACATGACAAACCCAGCAGCTGTGCGATGTGTTAGACTAGGATTCCAGAACAATCCTTGTGTAATCTGGAAAAGTCAAATGCATTAGGGAAAATTATCTTGAACCAGCTCAAATAGCACTGCTAATAGCTGTTCTCCCAACCGCCGTCTACATTTTGGGAGGACTTGGTGAGAAGTTTCTGGTGTTCCTGCACACTTTAAGTTCTACCACAGACACTCTCTCCCTGGCG